TATATATATATATACATATACATACACACACACACACACACACACACACACACACACACACACACACACACACACACACACACACCTTTGTAAAAGAAAATGGTGTTAAAGAAAATATTTGTTTATCCCCCTGACATTTTCTTGTTTCCTTACAGGTTGTTGAAGAACAGTTGTTAGATGAGGATGATGAAGATGTCTATGTTTTGAGTAAAGTAGCTGATATCACCCACGCACTCTTCGCTGCTTATGGCCAGCACTTCTTCCCGTTCTTTGACATTCTTTTACCCCATCTCGTAAAATTGTTGGGTCCCACCAGACCTTGGCCAGATCACCAGTGGGGTCTATGCATTTTTGATGATGTTATAGAATATGGTGGCCCAGCATGTGACAAATACACAGATCATTTTCTACAGGTGAGTATTTAATTTCATTTGTTTTCTCTCTCTCTCTCTCTCTCTCTCTCTCTCTNAAAGAAACTTTTAGTTTTCCACAAGGATCTATATGAAAGATTCAAGAAACGCTGGCACAACAACAACAAAAAAAATTATCCTCTAGACAAATTCGAGTAAAGCACAATGTATCTTTATAGGCAGTCGCCAAAACCTCGGTAAAAATTCCGAGAACATAGAATCTGAAAGCCGCTACATAAGACAAGCATTTCCGTAAAAGAAATTGAAAGAAGAAGAAAAAAAGGAATGCACAAGACAAATGCCTGACATTTGAGCCCCATGACAACTGTAGAAAAAATGTGCACATCAAGTAATAGAATCCCTACTGAAACAAGGATTAATTCTTGTTTTATTATTAACTATTTTTCGAACATGAGATTCAACTAATGAAGTTCAACTTCAGAGTTGAGAGTAGCATTCGGCAACACAAATAAACTAAACTGTTTAAAAGTTCAATTCAAGTAGAATTATGATACATTTATTTATCAAAAAAATGATTAAAGGTGATTATCAAAAGTGACTCGCCTCTTACCAGCCAAAGGTAACACAACAGGTGCCTAAGAAAGACATATAAACTCTCCGTGTCAAAAGTTCACACACAAAAGTATGTTCACGACAAATACAAACACGTGGAACTAGGAATATTCATTCATGTTTTGGATACATTGAGAATAAGGTTAAAGGAACGTCTAGATAATCAATGACATAAGATAAAGCACGATTATCAGTAATCTTGCCTGTATCTATACTGTAAAATCCTTGTTAAAATATTAACCATTGTAAATAATAGAATAATATATTTTGAATTTGAACTCTGTTTATCCATACACCTCTTGAGCCATTTTCTCTTTTCATACCATAATGCATTAAAGAATCATATCAAATACAGATATATAATATACTTGTTACACCATTTCTCTCCATTACACAACATTGTCGCTGCTGTAGTTTCCCGAGATCCAGGAATTGGCATCCCTGGCGTGGGGATGGGGGGGGGGGCTGACACTGGGGCACATTCGCGAGCGTTAGACTAATCCAAAGAGAGGCATAATCGTGGTACTGATGCCCTATGCCGTTTGGGTACAATAGGCGACGAATTGAAGTTTGCTTATCTATGCCGGATGAATTGAAGCAAAATACTAAATACGTTCTTTTTTCTTATACTTTCTTTTTCTTTCCTATAGAATTTCTGCTGTCTACTTTCTCACCGATCTTCTCTGCTCTCTACGTCGCTCTTCCTTTTCTCGCAAGGGTCTTCTCGGCGAATTTTCCTTCTCGAAGTTATCTTACGTTTCTTGCTCCTCGACACCTGCTTCTTACGTCCATCCCGATATTGTCACACAACCTCTCCTTCGGCCATCCACGCTGTCGCGGTCCTGGGGCCTTATTTGCTGTCCTTTTTGTGTTTTCAAGGCTGCGGTCCCTCGTGGGGTTCCTTCTTCTCCCTCCCCTTCTCTTCTCTCTCTCTCTCTCTCTCTCTCTCTCTCTCTCTCTCTCTCTCTCTCTCTCTCTCTCTCTCTCTCTCTCTCTCTCTCTCTCTCTCTCTCTCTCTCTCTCTCTCTCTCCTCTCTCTCTCCTCTCTCTCTCTCTCTCCTCCTTCTCTCTCTCTTCCTCCCTCCTTCTCTCTCTCTCTCTCTTCTCTCCTCTCCTCTCTCTCTCTCTCCCTCCCCTCTCTCTCCTCTTCCTCCCTCCCTCCCTCTCCTTCCTCCCTCCCTCCCTCTCTCTTCCTCCCTCCCTCCCTCCCTCCCTTCCCTCCCTCCTTCTCCCTCCTCCTTCCCCTCTCCTCCCTGCCTCACTCCCTCCCTCCCCGCCTCACCCTCCCTTCCTCCTCTCTCCTCTCCCTCTCCATCACCAGAGGCGCCTAAGAGATGGAGAAGGTATCCGGAAGCTTGTTCAACAGCGATTGAAGGTGACACTCGCATTAGGTTAATGGAGGGAGGGGGGAGGGGAGGGGGGCTACTCGCTCACACTCTCTCGGGTTCGACAAATGGTAATTGTGGTCGGATTTCGGGTCATTTCGGGTGATGGGCTCGATGGGGGGGGGGGGAAGC